GAAAAGCTATGTGTAAGTGGTAGGGACCATGAAAAGCTAGGTGTAAGTGGTAGGGACCATGAAAAGCTAGGTGTAAGTGGTAGCGACCATGAAAAGCTATGTGAAAGTGGTAGGGACCATGAAAAGCTATGTGTAAGTGGTAGGGACCATGAAAAGTTAGGTGTAAGTGGTAGGGACCATGAAAAGCTATGTGTAAGTGGTAGGGACCATGAAAAGCTATGTGTAAGTGGTAGGGACCATGAAAAGCTATGTGTAAGTGGTAGGGACCATGAAAAGCTATGTGTAATCAGTTCCGTGTATGGTTTGCAGTGTATCGATATGACGAAACGGAGAGAATCTGCACACAACGTTGATGAATTTCCAGATTAATTCACCAGGGCTGGGTGACTCCATACATGATTGAAATTCTAAGATCATTCAAGTGTGGAAGCCAAAACGCAATCAGTCAAAGTCTTACATTCACACATGGACGTACTAATATTGCAAAGTGAGCAGCTTGAATCACAAATAGATCTTCAAAGTTGGTAAAGATCGGTCATTTCAGTATTAGAGTCATTTCTATTGATCTAGGTATAGAAGGAGCAGTATTAGAGTCATTTCTATTGATCTAGGTATAGAAGCATCATTATTAGAGTCATTTATAATGACCTAAGTATAGAAGCATCAGTATTAGAATAATTTCTATTGTCCTAAGTATAGAAACATCAGTATTAGAGTCATTTCTGATGACCTGAATATAGACGCAAAGGTCTAACTCTAGAGAGTAACACATGACAACAACCAATATCAGAATAATGACGTCAACACCATGTTTCTACAGCTGAAAGCAAGAACACGGGAATACAATTAAGAGGAAAGGACGATATGAAGTTAGAAGTGAAACCAATATTAGACAGATGTAACCAACGGCGGATCTTTTTATGTGGAACCTGTGCTTTTGGGGGGCTTGAGTGAGTCGAATTTCCTGTATTTTGCTGGCATCCGTCCGTCACAATGTGACGATGGAGTGGGCTTCGGAGGACGAAATCCACATGGCCTGGGATTATACTTCAAGGATTATAAGCTGGTTCCCAACAGCAAATCGCCTCTCTCCACGCCGCTGGGTAACCCAAGGGAACATCATTGGATGATACAGCTTGGCACCAGTGACGTCGCAGGAGTTGCCGGAATGTTTCATTGTATCAATGTTATCCGCCTTTCGGGACTCCA